CTAAGTATTGAAATATGCTGAAGGTCTCCACTGCAGTCACTGCTAGAATCTGTAGTGGAATGCCATTTTATTTTAGAAGAAAATAAGGGAGAGCAGTGATTAAACACTTTTTCTGTTTTCTTTCAATGAATTCTTGAAAAAGCCTCTAGATATTAAATAAGAGCAGCTAAAACCAGGACCATGATGCAACTGTTCATAAACAAGGCCATAAATAGCAACCTTTTGATTAGCCTTGTCCATGTGAAAGAAGTTTTCCTTTGGATTAATTAACTTTTTCAATAACTATACAGAACACTGAATGTGACTTGACAGCACTTGGTGTGACAGTAACAATAAGACCAATCTTTGCTTCTGAATCATGCACTCTAAATGTATTGCCATGGGAACATTTATCCCTTTACCCCTTTTATGCTGAGATTCATTCCCTTCAACGTGTCCAGATACATAAGGCTGTTGGCTTGTATATTTTAATAGCTGATGAGGAAAAGACTGGGGGGCCATAGGAAGAGAGAAAAGATGCTTATATAGCCTGGAGCAACATGTTTATGTTTATGAAAATCCCCTCACAGTGAACTATGTCTCCTGACTTGATCAGGCTTTCAGTGTTGCCCCTAAACTATGATCAACCATAGATTTTTAACAAGTATCAAAACACATTACCATATGGAGTTAGCAGGCAGGCAGAAAGTCCTGCCAGAAAATTATATCTCCTGACAGATATATTACAGCAACATCTTCTTTATAATTCAATGGGAATTTATTCAGGCAACAGGTGCAATGGCAGCCTCTGAAAAACCGATGCCAGCTCACATGTCCAAAAAGCAGTACATGCTTCTCCAGAGACCAAGGAAAGCAAATGATTAGGCTATTGGCAAGATTAAGGGCTAAAGGGTGTTTTCTCCTCTCAATGAGTATGTTTTACTATGCTTAAATAACAGGATTTCGATTGTTGTCACAGAAAACTAAATAGTAATCATAGAACCACAGAATGGTTTGGGTTGAAAGGGACCTTGTACATCCTCTAGTTCCAACCCACTCCACGATGAGCAGGGACACCTTCCACCAGACCAAATGGACCACAAGGGCTCTCTAACTGCAGGTTTCAGACAGCATGTGTGATTTCAGCTGTAATCTGGAAACAGTGGTATCACACTGTTGTGAATGAATGTTTTAAAGTCACTTAGAGAATTCTTTAAAGCACTCATTCATGATACACACCAAGACCAAAATGCTGATTTCTTTTAAGTTCTTAGAAGAATTCTTCAAATCCTAGGAGCTTTATCGCTCCTAGTCAGAGAAGGATACTCATCTAGAGATGAATGTCAAAGCTTTTTCCTTGCCTGGAAAAAAGTTTCTAATTTGTAGTTACGTATTGCTATTCCAGAATTATCTAAAATACAAATTTATACGTTTTCATCAAGGTATCATAGTTGTTTAATGAAGTAGAAATCATTTATTTACTTATAAATTACTGCTGTTCTCATTTAGATTTTTTTTAAGGGGAAAAAAAAGTCGTTGTTTACATCAAGTGACCATTTCTGGACTTTAATTCTTACGTGGTATTTTTGCCTTGCCAAGGTTTTTGTAGTATTTGTTATCTTGAAAACTTCAGCTCATTGGCTTAATTCTTTTCCTCCAGAAAATGCATCTATCCAATTTAGAGAGAGGCACAACCACTTCTAAATCACTACAAATATCCCTGCATCAGCAAAGTGCTAGCTGGGAGTTTCCCATCAGACTGTCTGCACAGACAGGTGCAGAGATCTCCACTATCCATAAACTGCAGGCTAAACGCCCAGGCATTCAGAGGTTTAGCTTTCAAGTTTGAGGATTAAATGCAGAAGAGGAGTGCATTTATTTTTAGAGCTGGTCACATATTCTCTATAGCATTAAAGATTATAGAAAAGCTCCTACCGACTACTGCCTTCAGTTGAGACTCATTGTTTTGAAATTGAAACCACATATATATAATTTTATAATACGCTTCAATAACAAAAGCTTATCTGGAGGGTAATGATGATTTTGAAGTAACATGTCTGAGAAGACTCTGGAGCAAAGAAGAGTCTTTCTTAAGTTTTCAAGAATAATTAACTAAATTAGGTATTTTAATTATGTTTCTGTGCTATCTAAATGTTATGAATGAAGTCTTCTTATATAGAGGGGTTTTCAGAAGTTAAACAGTTTATTGTTATATAACCTAAAAGAAAATTTAAAGATTAAAAAATCTGGAGAATTTTATCAAATCTCATTTTAAAAAGAAGGAAAACTAAGTGAAAATTTACCAGAAAGGAGCAGATGTTACTCTATGAAGCGACAGCAAACGAAATGGGAATTACAGCCTGAGAGGAGCTTCGCTCAGAGCCATAATTTCAGGCACTCAACACCCACAATTAGGGTCAGATTCAAAGTAAGTTACCTGATGTGTGAAATGTTAATATATTCCATTGGATTTTTTCCTAGTTAAAACCTATCTTTCAATATTAAAATGAGGAAAAAGGAACATACACTACTGTTTTGGGATGCTGAGCAGTCATTTGTCAGAAACTTTTCAAAATAAATTTTTAATATCATGATATGAAGATAAATTCAAACTCAGTATCTTGCAAAAATAGGACTTTGGTCTGCAAAATATCCCCTAATCGTTTTTTTAACATCAAAACATTTGTATGTTTCATTTCAATACTATTTTATATTTGAAATTTTTTTATTGTACTGTGTTATCATTGCTATTATAATGGAAGTTCAGAACAAAATTAAACAAAAACTATTAAAAAACCACACTGTCATTAAAAACAGACAAAAAGAAGACCTCGTTTCCTTCTTAGATATTAAAAAAATGTATGTCTTCAATCAGATTCAGAAAAAAAAGCAACATTCTTTTTCACAGTTCCCATCCTCCACACAGCTCAGCATGTACCATTTCTGCTGGGATTTCTGCGTATCCCAATAGAATGTCACCAAAAATGTACCTGTTCACCTGAAGTTGAGAGTCAATAAATATTTTATTGCTGGAAAGAATTGCCCTTGGATCCATACGGTGTTACTGTAATTAAGTGAAAAATATATGATTATTGCAGAGGGCGCTTGTTGCCTAGGTTTGCAGAATCTATCCCAGCAATTATGCTCATACATGTCATAAGTTGAAAGTTCCTTTAATAACTTGTTTGCTAAATTTGACTCCTACCTACAAAAGTGCTTTAATTCCTTAATTTGAAAAATACCTTAGCATATAAGCATCAAAGCTGTTTTAAGAGCTATAGAAGTGTCATCCACTATAAAAGACAACAGCAAATTAAATTGGGAGTGGGAAAGAGGAGGGAAAGATTATAATGGGTGTTTGTATAGACGTGTACAGAAAATCAGAGTATTGAGTCAGAAAGGCACATTTAGACTAAAGAAGGCTTTCTTTCAACCAAGTGTACTAATCAGGATTAACCCACTGTTAGATTTTGACTTGGCACTTGGGCTTATTTATGGGAATAGCAGTTTGGGTTGCTCTTAGGTCAGGGAAATCCAGTATCTGTCACTGGGAGACCATATGTTTCCCCTCCTAATTCAGACTCATCAGATATCAGTAGGTGACCAAATTTTTAAAGCAGCATGTCTAAAAATATCACAGTGAAGTGAAATATCTCCCATCAGAGATACCCAATGCAGAGAAAACCACGTCCTGGAGGTCTGGGGGAAGGACAATAGCATGAAGACACAGTTGAGTCCCAGTGAATGAGATCAGCCACAAGACAGAGAACGCTGCATTTCTGCAATGAATATTATTGCCTCTGGAAGAAATAAAAGCTGGATAGCATGCAATCTTTATATTTCTGAGAGCTTGAAATTGTTGTCAATCAGAACAAGGTGAACTGCCTGAATAAAAGACACTCCTCTCCCAGAAAAGCACAAAGACAAAACACCAAACTGGCAATAGAGCAAAGAAGAAAGAATTGATGCTCCCACACTATTCTCAATCTCTCTGAAAATTTTTTTTCCTACTTGTTTATTCTTGTTCCATCTTATATAAGTAATCAAGCAACCAGGCAAGATTTATTCTTGTTCCATCCTATATAAGTAATCTCCTACTTTAAGAATTATCAAAAGCGAGAATGATCAGTGCTGGAATTTCAGAAATTTGGTGTCTAATGACTTTTAGTAGTTCCTACATTTAATTACTCTTTTAAAATCCTTCTTAGCAGGGAGAACTGGATTAAAATCAGATTGTAGAGCAAAAACTTGGGAGTGAGTGACCATGCCAGCCTTCAACATGTGAATGTGATATACAGTGGCAAGCAACCATAGGCAGTAGCTATGATGGAATGAATTATATTTCAAAAGGGAATTTCACATTTCCCAAGATGCAACAGGGCATAATGCTGCACTGCTTCACACATATGTGCACAAGAATACAATAGCCTTAAAGATGCAAAAAGCTTCAAATAAGTTAGAGGATGCAATATCAATAATATCTTCATTTTAAAATATATTTCTTGTCTGTTAACTATTTTCCACATATATCCCACCTTAAAATTCAGTGCATGCCTACTAATTGTCTCGGTTTAATGAGACGGAAGTATTTTGCTAAGGAGGATGAGCCATGAGGAAGACAAAGCTCCTCCCTCCAAGCAATTGTAAATCTGAAATTAAGAGGTTCCAACTGAGGAAGCATGGAGAAAAAAAAAAGATAACTGCCCTTTATTAAAGGATATGTGTGCATTGGTAGAACAACAAAAATAAAACAAAAACAACTAAACAATAATCCTGTACCCAAAAGTCCCCTTCAAAAAGGAAACAGTTCAGCACTTCCCCCCTTTTGGTGCAATTCTAACCATGACCAGCAGGGGGCGCTGTTGGGCTCTGGCGGTCGCCGTGTGAGGGTCCCGGAGCACGGGAGGAGCCGAAATGGAGATTCCCCCAAACCGAGAAGGGGAAGGGGAAACAGAGGGGAAAAAGGGGCTCTTCCCACAAACTCACACTGTCAGTGGCTGGCTCTGGCCGGGACTCCCCCAAAAGTTCCTTTGCAGAAGGGCCAAGCCTCTCCGATGAAATCTGAACAAGTCCAGGCTGGGGGCAGAACAGGGCGCAGGAGAACGGAGGCGAACTGGGGCCAGAAGCAGCCAGATAACCCAGCCGAAAACAAAAAGAACCACGGAAATCCCTCTATGAGAAATAAAAATATGGGTTTATAGGCGTATCGCGAAGTTGTAAGATATCCAAGTCTCAGAGTGGACTTGAGTGTCAGGGTCTTTTTCGGCCGGTTAAGGGAAATATAAAATTCCTAAAAATTAAAATCTTTCAGGGCCATGTGAGAGTTTGGTACACAGGGGTTTCTTTTCTCTCTTTGGGCTAAGAACAAAGGAAGATCCATCATTTTTGACAGGGTATGGCCAGTGGCCAATTAGAAAAAAGGGAAAGCCCCTTTTCAGAGAAAAGAAACCTTTATAGGTAAAAGTGAATATATTAAGCTTATCTGAAAAAGGTGGGATTTTGTAAAACTATAAAATGCATGAAATTTAAACCCAAAGGGTCTTTTCTCCCCAAAGAACTTGGTGTGAGACTAGACCCAGCACGCTGAATAAATTCTTTCTTTTTGTTTCCTGAGTTTTTGTCGTCCTTCTAAATTCAAGGGAGAAGTTTTTCTCACAGCTCCACACACACCCCCTCCCTGAGTCAGGGCAAAAATGGAGTCCTCCCGTTTCCTGAGGAGAGAGAAAAAAATTCCATCACCTCCACCCGCACAGTCTTCTGAGGGCTATCAACCTGGAATGTAGGCTGTGGCCAGTTCTTTTGTGTGTGTCAATCACCCTAGGAAAAAGAATCACCATCCCCCTCCCTCGTTCAACATCCCCCTTTCATAATGATGCAGGGAAAAGAAAAAAATAATCCCACTTGTTTTTTTTACAAGTAAACCTATGGCATAATAAATTTAACAATTTATTAGATGGAGTGCATTGACGATTTCTCTAAGTCTTAAAATGAGCTAAATCAAAAATGGAGGAAGGTACTCCAAGAAACTCCTGGACAATTGTTTTTTCAACCAACTTCAACCCTTCCTTAAGCAGTCATGTTGCCTGAGAATCTACTGAAGGCAGAAGACTATTTCATTGTGGGATCTAAACATCAAGCAAATATTAATAGGCAATGGAAGACCTGGATTAAAATGGAAATAATTCTGTAATATCAGCTTTAGGCTTCTGCTCAAAGATTAAAGAGAAAGCAGTTCTAACAGGTAGAATCATTAGTGTCATTGCACAATCTCCTCAGAACAGGTTTATTAAACCAAAAAAGGTAGACCTGCATGCCTAGAAGAAAAACCTGCTTGTGCCATTCTGAATCTTCTCCAGTAAAATAAGTCCACCTTTGTAAATGAGGACAGAGGAAAGGAAACTTGAGATGCAGGAGAGTAATAAACTCCACGACATTCCCTTTATCACTCGAGTTTTCTTGAAGAGTGTTCTTTCCAAAGAAAAAGATATACCGCAAGTATTAAACAAAGTACTGTACTCAGTCATGGTTTTGTGATGCAATCAGGTTTTAAATATTAGCGGGACAGTAATCTTCCTTACGGTGCCCATAGAAATGTGTGTTTTCAGCAAAAAAAAAATAGACACAAAGTCTATCACATCTGACACTGAAGACAGAGAGCCCGTGCCTAATGGGCTGGAGAAAAAGTCTAAAAGCAGTTCATCTCTCTGAACTCCCTGAGCGACCCCTGTAATGCAGTTGCATCTAGCAAGACATATTGAGAAAAATGAGCAAGGGAAGAGTGTGTCAATGACAGTTAAAACTTGAGCACTTGGTCAGTTTTTCAAAACATTTTGAGGCAAGACATCAGCTTGCCTCCTAATTCATCTGAACAGCCTAACATGGCCACCTTCAGTACTGTCAACAGATTAATCTACATGCTGCCAAAAAGCTTAAAGCTAAAAATGTAGTGCTTAGCCAAGAGAGATCTAAATGAGATACATTATTTTCTATTTGTGTTTAGACACTATGTGCAAAACACAAATAGGTGTAAACCTACAGTTACTGCCAAGGCTTTAGCAAAGCTTATAAGTGTTGTACTTCCTACAGCCCTCAACAGCATCACATCCCCAATCTCCTTACACCACAACAGCATCAACAAGGAAGAGCAAGCACCCCAAGACAGTCATATTCAGACAGTGTGAATGAGACAGTCACATAACCCACTAGGCAAACTTAGGACAGATGCAGTGTCAGACATCTTTATTGCTGGGTACTGCTTTGAAAACAGTACTGGCTCTCCGAAACAGAAGAGATGACCAAGTGACAGAGGGATTACTTTGTTTCATCTAAACTCCAGCAGTCTTTTGCTTTCCAGGTTGTGGCCTCAAAATGTGGAACACACAAAATCCAAGTACAAATTCAGCTTAGTGAATTTGTATGTTCATTCAACATTCAGTGAATGTTGAAATATTTACCCTAGAAGTTTCTTATAGAAAACCCTGGCAATTTTGCTTCCCAGCTAGACTGCTGTCTAAACCAAAGCAAAAAAAACCCAAACAAACTAACAACAAAACAATGGGAAAAAAAGAAGGCAAACCATGCAGGATGGACAAGTCTCCTATGAATTTTGTTGCTTTTCATTCAACGTGGATACACAAAACGCTCCAGTTTTGTGTAGGTATGTCTTAGGGTAGGCATGTCCCTGTTCACTAAGAAAAAGGACCAAAATCACAGGAAGAAGATCAGGTTGGCCACTGTCTGCCCTCTGGCATGCTGAATACACCAGCCTGCCTGGTATTGAGAGGCAGCATCACTGGGAAGTCTGGTAAAAAACAGCTTTTCTTTCTGTTGACTGGAGCAAGTTACAATTAAGTTGGTGAAACAATCAAATTAAATGGGGTGTGAAATTTAGAGGGGAAGGGAGAGTGAGGTAGAAGTTTTTTCTTTGTATTGTTCACAAAGCCCAGCATTGGTAAACTCTGAGAAGGGGCAGTGATACAGTGACATTTTCCCACCCTGCAGTTCAGGACTCTATTTATTGCTCCCAGCTGTGAAGTAAACAGAATACTACATCTCCCCCGGCACATACTTTGTCAGCAGCAGCAGCAGCCTCAGTTGTCCTTTCTCTCTCAGTAGCATTTCAGGTAAAACTGAAGGAGTGAAATGACAGAGTCACTTCGGGATTACATCTGACTTGCCAAGCCTCTTCTACTGTCTGTGATCTGCAAATCAGGAAACAGATTGTTTTGTGCCAGGTTGTTTGCAAAGCTGGTAGGAAGAATTTGGTGGTTTGGCTATAGGCTCCCTGAACTAGGTTAAAATAAATTAGCAAGTTTTAGGATAAAATAACTTAGCTATTATTTTCTGATAACAGAAACAATTTCCTGAAGTCCCACTTCATTCTCACATTTCCCAGAACAAAAATGTTGCGTAGGTCTTTATATAATAAAGAAATGGACTCAGCTCCTCTATGAGATGGCAATCAAAGAGGTTTATTCAAACTCGGCACTCCTTCTTATCCCACATGACCTTGTAACCAATGGGGTTGTCTATTTCCGCGAATGTCCCTTGGGCTTCTCTGCCCTCAGTGCGTCCTCTGCACCTTTGGACACACCTCCTACACAAAAACATTTTTTGAGGGGAAATTGTCTGCAGAAAGAGCACTAGGTGTTTTGCACCCCTTTATTCCTTAAATTAAATGCCTGTAGTAATTATTAAGAGGCCAGCAAACTAGGAAAAGGATATTGCATCTTCCCATAGCAAGCAGGAAGAAAGGTCATCACTGACCTTTATATTGCAGTTCAGAAACCTTGAAACTTCTGTTGAACTTACTGGCACCACCCCACACACAGAGCCCTTTGAAAAGCAGATCTGTGTCTCTGTTAAGGTCAATTCTGCCAGCAGTCTCCTCTCTCAGGGCTGGAGAAACTCCCAGAAGTCTTCCAATAAATATCCCACAATGGAACAGAAGAGAGGGTTGGTGTTTTAGCTCTCTTGTGATTTTCCTCAGTGTTCAGTGCACTAAGCAATAAAGGGCAACCTTAAAATTACAAATCAGAGCTATATATCAACTCTGCTTGGCTCCACCACAGAAAGAAAATTCTGAACTACATACCTCCATATGCTCTCTTGCTCTCTGGCTGAGGACACCAGAACAACTGCTCTGCATTGAAATTTTGGCTTAAAAATATTGAGCTGTAATTTAGCACCTGCAGACTACTGTAGTGATGTTGCACAAAAGGCACACATTCTTTTTTCTTAACTGTATTTCTAAGCAGCTTCTTACTGCTCTAACCTTTTTTTGGGGGAGGAGGGGAAGGAGGGCATTATAGAGATTTCCCTGGCATTGAAGAATGCAAATTCTGCCACAGATTTCAATACTCGGGATTAGTTTTAGCATCAGGGTTAAATCTTTACCCTTCGTAGCCTGAGAGGAGAAATCTTTGAAAACTTGTATCAGTCAGATCACTGGGGTTTTTACTCCATTCTAAGCCTGGTTTTGTCCCTGAAGACCTTAAGAGTTATGAAGTATCATTATTCTTGTTGCAATATATGTTTGTACCTGGAAACACAGAGGTGAATTCTAGTTCAATCTATTCTAATTCTGATTTTAAAATAATAACAACCTTTATTATTTAACAGCCAGTTCATTCCTGAAATTCATTTAATCTTGAGATTCAAAGTACTGCCGCTCAGATAAAAAAAGTTTTAATTTTACCCAGAAGCAGACAGACTAGATAGGCAAAGCTTTCTTTTTTTCCTTTCCTTCTAATACAAGAGTAGAACAGAACTTCAAAACAACTAAGGCAGAGAGAAAGGTCCATAGCCTTTACTGTCACTTGTTTTGAAAGAAGAACGATTCCCCCCCAGCCCCAGCCTTCAAATCCTCAGCATTGAATTCAAGCCCAAAACATATTTCCTGCTGCAATTGGAGGAGGAGCTGAAAGACAACAGAAAAATCCATGTGCTCTGACATATTCACTTATCTTGAATCAATAGTCGTGAAATAGCAGTACTAAGCTCTCATCTCTGTGTGTAATAAATAGGGGAGATGAGGTGGACACAACACACCCACAGGAGTGCTATACATCATCCACTTACATCTGGGGAGCGGCAAGAGAAGAAATTAAAGGGTTTTACGTGATACTGTGATAATTCTACATGATTTGCCTTTTATCCCTTCTCTTTCTGCTGTTAGCAATGTCAGCATCACTGACCAATTAATGGACACTTGAGTAATGCTAATCAAGGCAGAGAACACGCCTATTCGATGCATAAAGTTGATTTTACTGCACCAACCTGCCTGCGGAGCACATGGAAACACAGGAAAGGCAGACACCGTGAGAAGCAGGGCAGACCAGCAGAGGGAGCCCCCGGCACTCCTGAGGGAAGGTGCATTGCCGGCACTAGCTCTGTCATTGACCAGCTGCCTGCATTTGCCCTCTGCATCTATAACATGAAGACAAAGGTGTTTACTGCAATTTTAAATGATTTTGGGATGTGAAGCATGCATAAAATCTGTCTGGCAGTTTTGTATCCCTACCAACAAGTCCGCTGTCTCCAGTTATAGGGGAAAGAAATAAAAATGAAATAGTAATGGTTTCCTGCACTATTTAGAAAATCATGCCACATCCCTGGGCCCTGAACTGCCTACTCATCTCTGCCGCATCCATTGACTACCAAATTCTGTTTAATATTTCATTAATGTCTTGGATGATGGACTAGAACACATACTTGTAAAATCAGCACAAGGAGAGGGTGGTGCAAGCAGGCTGAGGGACTGAATCAGAATCCAAAATGAACCTGATAGATTGAAGAGATTTATATCAACAAGATATATTTTGATAAAGACAGGCTCAAACCACTACACAGAGTAAAAAGAAATTGAAAACAGAAATACAAACTGGTGATGCAGCCATGCAACAGAAAAAGAGATGAGACCTAAGTTTGTAACACAGAGAGGATACGTACACATCAACCACTGGACAGTGCAGACAAAGCAGCAAACTGTAATTCCAAGTACATTAATGTCATGTCACACACCTCCTAAGAGTTATTTTTTTTGTCACTCAGGTGAGGCCTCGATATGTACCCAGTTTTGCATGGAGTGCTTGCAATAGCAAACAGATTGATTTGACATAATCCAGGAGAAAACAAGAGGACTAATCAGGGTGGGGGAAAGAATTAGGAGAAAAGTTAAAGAGATTGATAGCAAACACAGAGGTTTTCTATGAAAGGAGGGCAAGAGGCAGCTTATTTGGAGTGGTCTTAAGAGATTATGGTAACTCTAATCATCAGAATCATGAAACATGGAAATTGGCTGTGTAGGACTGTTGTGGCAGCTCCATAACTGGAAGCTATTAAGGAAAAGGTCAGTAAGGCATAATGTAGGTATGCTTGTCTGGGCATGTCAGAAATATGGTTTCATGACCTATTGTGGTCCAGAAGAGCCCTGCCTAAGTCATAAAGTGGAAAATTCATATTTTTATCATGTATTGAAAATGTACTATGTATGATGGGAGTTCAGTGTCATAAAATTTTGTTGTTTCATTTTTGGGGGGGATAATTTAAAGTTCTGAGAAATAACATTTATCTAGAGCAAGAAAAGGAACAAAAATGAGGACCAAGCATATTAAAGCAAGGGTAGGTTGAATCTTTACATAGTACTGAGATAGACGTGCCTGTAGCAAATGTGGATAGAGCCTTCCCAAATCTTCGTTCGCGAAGCCTCGCCATGACTGAGATAGAGATCAAAGAAAATGTAACAGCAGGCAACATAAGAAAATGTGAGCAGACAAGGAGAAGCTACATAAGCCTAGAATGTATGAATCTGTGCCAACACAGCCTGCTAAGTAGGACCTGGCAGATTACACTGACATGCACAAGAGAACTCTTGCCTGTTTGGTGTTTGTTCATTCTTTCCCTCATTCTTGCCCTCAGTGCGGAAAACATTCAGCCCTTGAATTTCAAGTGCCAGTGTTTGCCAGCCCCTTTTCTGATTGCTTCTTCTTTGTTAAAATTACAAGCTCTTAGCAGCAAGCACATTGTTTCATATTATGCTACAAAACACCCACCACTGTGCTGATATTCTAACAAAGACAGACAAGACAATGGTATTTCAAAAGGCTGATTAAGAGAAGCCATTACTCATCTCCAGGGTCTCAGAGAATTCCCTTCAGGAAGATAAATAGTGCTACAAATATAGGCCTTTGCGAATAAGGCACTGAGATGATAAGAACTTAATTTCCATAGGAGGAAAGATACACATTTGAGTTATAACTGCTTTTATTTCTTGTGTGGGAGCTTCCAGCCAGAATTTAGCTGCAGCATCACTGAGAAAAAAAAATATTTAAAAAGTTGAAGTTATATTAAAGCATATGGTATCTATACATTACTGAAGAGACTTTGGCAGTAACCATCATGCAATAAGAAAGTATGTAGTTAATGCAGAAGTCCACAAGCAAATAAGTTTGTTGAGGGATATGAAACTGGCCTAACTAACCTTGAATCTTACATGAATCTTCCAAGCTTCCAATCTTCCATCTTCAACCACTCTGCCTCAAACAGCTAAAACAAAGGCTCGCACTGGAAAAAAAGAAGAGACAAAATAGGCAGTTCATGAGTTTCTAAAGACTCATGAAGACTAGTTTCCCCTTAAGGATTTACTGGTATTACTGGAAGTTAAACATGTGCATCCAGAGGAGAAAATGACTTCAGGTGTATAATCTGCAAAAGTAATGAATGTTCAAAAAGACAAATAGATGAACACTGTGTGCTAAAGGGAGAAAGGGAAAGTGCAAGTTTATGTTATTGAAGTATTCTGCCTTCTGGTTTTAAGAATAAGGCCCATCTGGATTTTTGAGCATTTCACAACAGTGTCAGAAAAAGAAGTACTGTAAATAAAAGTTCCAATTTAAATGACTCCAGTATGTTTTACGTTGTTTGTGGCATTAAAATTCCACTGGGGAGGAAAGTTTGCAGGGTAAGTATACCTTCTACAAACATATATTTGTTTCTCTTCCTACAGCTTAAAGATGTAGCCATTATAAGAATTCTCATAGGCACCATATATACCAGTGTAACTAAGTTGACAGCCTTCACATACTGCATGGTATGTTTGACTTGAGTTCTTCCCAAAACTACTAGAACTCCATTATACAGAAAAAAAATTGTCTAAACAGTCCTAGCATCTTTTCCATTCCAATTCGGGAAGCTGGGCAATGGATCCTATTCCCAACTGCACCAAGGAGACTACTCTGAAAAACCCTCTGAAAAACAAGAACAAACATTAGATGTGAAGGAATTCAAGGGGGAAGTCGGGTTGAATTTCTGCAATCTGATGCAAGAAAAGTAGTGAGATTCTAAAGATCTCATTTTTTATGACACACCTCTCCAGTGGAAGAATTCTTTACTTTAAAATACTACCACAGGCTGATTTGCCTTACTTTGCCAACGCCTTCAGAAACAAAAATCACAATTAACAGCCAAGGCTGTTTCCATATTAAAACCTATTAAAAAAAGCAGAATTTCTGAAGAGTAATTGTTTCCTAAACAATTAAAAACTCAATTAGCAATTCCTCCTGCATTTTAAAAGACTTATCCAAAGACTTAGAAATGGCTATCAGCTACCTGGTTATTCAACAAGAAATGTCAAAATGTATCTCTGCAGATTTAAATTCCTCCTATTTAGAGGGAAAAAAATACTAAAAAACTAATCACAATGTTCATATACCTTATACTGTCAAAGACCAACAGGACCCAGAAATAAAGATTCCCTGATGTCAAAAAATATATAGAAAGCTCTTGAGACAGATGTCTTATTTAATAATTCCCTTTAAACCAAGAAAAAACCAGCCATTCTCAAGCACACACCTCATTTGGGTGTTCATCCAACCAAATGCAATTTCTACATTCTTCTTTTTCCCTGAAAGGAAATAAAGATCTCACAGTATCTTTAATGTGGGTTCTAAAGCCTGCTAAACTGAAACAGCAGAACATCCATGTTGCAGGAAATTAATTAACTGTGTAAACTGCCAGCATGTGGAGCAGGTGGCTGGACTTCTCCTAATAGACCATCATAAAGCCTGTGTTTAGATTTACTTCCTGGGGCCTCTGGTGGTCTAGTGGTTAGGGTGCAGGACTCTCACCGCTGCGACCCGGGTTCGATTCCCAGCCCCCTGCGCAGATGGAGCTCGTCAGCCCTGTAAGGCAATCCATCTAAGAGAAGGTCACTCTAAACAAACCTAC